AAACTGCACGGTACTGCCCTTCGTAAACCCCGCAGTTGCAGTCCAAATGTCTGGATCCGGATGTACGGAGATAATGTTGGGACCCGTTGTCTGGTCCAGGCTGTCTGGATGAGGTCCTCTGGAAAACAAATGGGAAAAAAAGGGGGCACCTGGGATGGTAGTTCAGATTTTTGGGCCCCCCAAAAAAAGTTTGGATGATTTTTGGGGCCCGGTAAATCTGTCCAGACTCCAGACTGAGCTGGACTGTGAAGGAGTCGAAGTCGAGGCTGTACGCAGGGCCTTGAAAACCGACCCACTCACTCCCTGGGTCGTTATTTCTTTGCTTCATTTTGGATTTATCTGGCTGTGCTGAAGGTCTGATTCACATAGCCAGCAAAAGAGACATGTCACAGAGAGAGTGAGAGGGTCGTTATTCACGGCCTCTGACAGTTTAAGGGCCATAAGAAATGGTCTGGGCCATGAAAAACGCCCCTCGCACTCCCCGTGTCGTGGTCTCTTTGTTTCATAGTGGATCTATCTGGCGGTGGTGATGACCAGGGTCACATTAGCAAACAGGAGAGAGACAACGCACAGGGTGGGCGGCCCTCTGACAGTTACGGCTGTGAGAAACAGCAAGGGCCATGCGAAGCGGCCCCCTTTTTCCCTTTTTTTGTTTTTAACACCCCGCCTGGGGCAGTGCCCAGGGGTGATATGAGCACCCCCTGGTACTACCTTCTTCCCCCGAATACAACGGATGGTCATTATAGCTGTATTTGAGCCATCTTTCAGTCTAAATACAGCGATAATTACCGTACGTTATTTTCGGCGGAAGAAGGTAGCCCAGCGTTTGTCACTCCATTCTTATTGGTGGGGACCCACACCTCCTGGGAACTGGGTCCAGCGTCCCATTAAAACAACAAAAAGTTAAAAGCACATGCCCATACACAGTGTTGAAAGTTGAAATACTCTACTGGGAACCCTGTGTTGTCCTTTTTCATTTTAAATTTTAATTTTTAAATGAATTACGGCTGTGCTGACGACCAGATTCACGTGGCAAATAAGTTGTTGAACCAGAGAGCCGCCACAAGACCAATGTCTGTCATGACTATGGAACACAGGAACAGAGGCATCCCCAAAACAGGGCCTCCTAGTATTGTTGAAGGCACTCCAAACAGAATCACTGGTTCTTTAAACTTATTGTGCACATCTTAAAGGTACTGGACTTAAAAAAAAAAACTTTGACCGTGAGGAGAACACAGGAAAATACTAGAGGGCACACAAAGTGTAAAAATGTTGGTATATCTGTTATCACCTGAAGGAGAGAGTCTGGGCCCAGACATAGCCAGTCTGGGCCCAGACATAGCCAGTCTGTGCTGGCTATATACTGTGCTGTTTATTGCAGGCTGCTTGGGGCAGCCAGCTGCCCCACACACCACCATTTTTTTGAATTTTTTTCTCATTTTCATAAAGTATGGTAATGTGATTCTCCCTCTTTAGCAGTAGCGACCACATTCCGTCTTTTGACACCACTGCTCCCTCCATATTGTCTGTGTGCATCTGCGCTTCCGTATGATCCACTGTTCCCTTCAAACGAGAATAAATACTCATAAATTGGAAATGAAATTGAAAATTGAAAAAAAAAAACAATGGCACACCCTTTCAGGGCCCTTCAAACTCCTTTAAAGTTTAAGCCCCATTTATACCCTCCAGGGCCCCTAAGGCTAGACATCACCAAATCCGAAAAAAAGGGCGAATTCGGCCACTCAGGCAGGCACATCTTGGTGGGCCCAGAAATGTCCTAAGCCCCATTTATACCCTCCAGGGCCCCTAAGGCTAGACATCACCAAATGCAAAAAAAAAAGGGCGAATTCGGCCACTCAGGCAGGCACATCTTGGGGGGCCCAGAAATGTCCCAGCATGAGTTTTGAAAAAAAAAAGGAAAAGAAAACACATCTTATGGCTTGCCGGCATGTCCCGGGAAGGTAGGTACAGGCTGCCCGGTGACAGCCAGGCAGCGGGCCTGGTTGACCTGGTAGCCCTGCATCAGACAGCTTTTATGGGAGAAAGAAGCAAAGGGAAGAAAAAGGGGCAAGAGAAACATGATCATGAGGTGGTATCAGGTGATGATGGCATTATAAGGACGGCGTTGGCAAGCAAGAGAGCAGTTAGGCATTTGTGTGCATACCAGTTTGTGCGGCGTTACAGTGGCCACTGGCCATGGTATTTTCTCTGTGTCATCCCCAGTGTGCGATGAGGATGTGTGCTGCACCATTTTTCCTTTCATCTATACGCGCACGGAACCATCCTCCGTTCAGAAAACAATTTTTTTGAGATGTGATGATGGCTCATTGAAGACCAATGATGAATAAGCCGCGGCTTGAAAGCAGAATTACAAAGCTGAGGTCATTACACCGAATTAAGAACACACTGAACACTGAAGTCCCTTGACAATAAAAGCCCTCTTCACACCTCCCATAATAAATGCAACAACAATGTAGTAGCCCTACTATAGTGTGTCCACCTATACTACACTCCTCTACCTGCGTATGCAAGCCTACTCCCTCTCACTCTCTTTCCACTCCCCCCTCCCCAGATCTCTCTCAACAGTCTCACACAAGGCCCTCCGCGGCCAACACCAGGTAGGTATTGGCTTGTCCTCACCACATTTCTCCTTGCCTGACCCCACTCTTTCCTCCTCGCCACCCGCTCCCACTGCTCTGCGCTGCCTTCCTTAAACCACCACTCCAAGGGGCCCTGCATTTTTCATTTCATTTTCCTTGTCATCAACTATCGAGGCAAAGTCAACAGTCCCCAGGCCCGGTAGACGTTCTGTGGGGAAGGGTACCACGACTATTTTTCCTCACAGCGGCACTGTAGGTTTTAGGCTCAGGGAAAATGCAAATTTTGGTTTGTCAAAACAGGCCCAGATGGAGTGGTGGTTTAGCTATGGCAGGTGCAGGCTTGGTGGGCGTCTACCGCGCGGCTGCCTTCTTCCAACCAGGGTGCTTGCTGGCTGCACACACTGCTGCAGGGCTGCCATACCCTGCCACTGCCCGAATGTCGTCTGCTGCCTGGCCTCATCTTTTTTGTTCTTTTTCAGTATGGGGTCTAGGTGCCGATAGGCAGTCCCTACTGGCCTCCTCCCGGCCTGGGCCCGGGTCCCAACCCGGGTAACTACTACCTCGGTGGTACCCTGACAGGGCCCACCGGGTAGTTACTGCCTGGGGTGGGGCTCTAAATCGGGTCCCAGTCACGTTTCCAGGTGGGGCCTTCACTTAGGGACAGCCTGATATTTCTGCAGGTGGTCCCTTAGGGCACCGCCGAAGCCCGTAGCCTCTCACATACACAATGAAATCCCTTGCTAGCTGCTTGCAGCAGCCTTCTTTCTTCTTTTTCTGATCTGTTTTTTCAACTTTTTTAAGTCTTTTTTGTTATTTTCCTCTTGGATGTGTGCCGCTACTGAACTGCACACATGGATCTAAGAAAGACTCTCTGAGCACCAGTTAGGGCATTATTGAAACGAGGACCTTTTTTTTGCGGACTCTGTCTGTACTACTCTGGAGTTTGCTGTCAGGTACATCCAAAAAAGGTCCTGGTGTGAGAATGGCCGTAATATCCGTGCTGGAAAAGTACATGTTATGCGCGCTCTCTTTTTCGTTCGTTGTCTGTCGCACACTCTTGATGGCAGTATGGTCGTTACCGTCTTCCCCCAAATAGACTGAACGTACGGTCATTATCGCTGCATCTAGACTGAAACTTGCGCCAAATGCATGCATAATGAACATACGTTTCTACTCGGATGAAGACGGTAGTTGGCAAATAGCAATTGCTTTCCAATCACAGACATGATACGCCTGACCTCCCAAACGGATGAGTACTATGGGCACCTCCTGAGGCCTGGTCACCACCCTCTACTACACCCTGGACCTTTTTTTTATGAAAAAAAAAAAGACAATTGAATTGGTCCACAGACTCCACAGTGTCCACACCTTTTTTTTTTTTTTTTTTTTTTTTTTTTTTTTTTTTTTTTTTTTTTTTTTTTTTTTTCTTTTTACGCATGCATAGATCCCTTTCAGACACCAATGCTGCTGCTTTCTGACACAACAGCCCTCACCCCCTTTTTTTTTTTCTTTTTTTTTTTTTACGCATGCATAGATCCCTTTCAGACACCAATGCTGCTGCTTTCTTACATAACAGCCCTCACCTGGGGCGAGGTCCCACTAGCAACGGGATAGGATAGAAACGAGTTTGTGGGGCAGTTGAGTGACGCAAATCCTGCCGTCCAGTACTCGTGATCCCACGGTCAGTATTTTACATGTATTACCCGAAAAAGTAAGGAGATCTTTGTTCCCCTCCTCCTCTCCTTAACACTGGGCATGCCCGTGCAAAGAAAGCTTCCCGCCAGAATCTTTTCAATCGGTTGGGGGTGTGGCCAACCCCAAAAGAGGGTGGGGTCGGCCATAGGCTGACTGGATAGAAGATTTTCAGTATTTTACTTGCTGTTGTGCAATTATCTCATTGGGTGGAGCCCTCCTTCAATCACGGAGTATATGGAGGGTGTCAGGATCACTGCTGACAGAAGTCGAGTTTATTCCAGAAAAAAAGTGGCAGTTACTTTGTTGAGTGTTTTTGCAACCACCACCATCAGATCATTTGTGATCTGATGGCTGCGAAGCACTCTGCCGTGATTTCCGGTGGGAGGTCTCTGTTTCTTTTTTTTGCCTTTGCCTTTCTCCTGTTTTTTCAGCCCAGAAATTCGTAATGAACCTGTCAGCCCGCTGCCACTCAGTGTCACACTGGATCGGCCACACTCCTATCCGACTGCTAATGGGACCTTGCCCCTGTACTCCACAGTGTCCACACCCTTTTTTTTTGTTCGTTTTTCTTTTTTATGCATACATAGATCCCTTTCAGGAACCAATGCTGCTGCTTTCTGACTCAACAGCCCTCACTTGTACTCTATCATTAGATTCATTACTGAATGTTCAATCATCCATTGCCATCCTCCCCTCCTTTTGCAGATGAAGGCGATACTTTCAAGCGTTATGCGACCTGTTCCTCCGCCTGTTCAGGCTGGAGCACCACTGATGACAGCAGTTACACTATTACTACGACATCAATCGGAGATTGCTGTGGTGGAGTCACCTGTGGGCACTTTGGTAGCCTCCGATGCCACAGCCGATTGCGCTCAGCAGAGGATGATAGCTGCCCCACCCCCACAGGCATCCGCGGGTACAAACGGGAGCGGCACTGCTGTTCACAGTGCCTTCAGTTACCCCATTGCAGTTCAAGCCGATGCAGGAAAGGGCGAAGAGGGAGGTGGTTGTGCTACTTACGGCAGGAAAATGTCTGAGAGCAAGGTGGACTTGAGTAGCGGTCATCTCAACAAGGACACGCTAGGGGGAAACAACCACCCCTCTATGGGAAATCCCAGCAGCACCACCGGTGTGTGCCTCCCTCCTGATCACAACCAAGCAAATGAGACGAAGCTCGTCGGTTTTGTTACCCGTGAGACTGTGTTTGATTTTGGAGATCGTTGCCGTCATCTGGCCCTCTCACTCGTCCCACTTTTGTCCGTTGTCAGAACACAATAATTATTATTGCAAATGCAGGTGAAAAGAAAGAGGTACCAACGGGTCTAGCTCAGTTGGTACACCCGTGAACTGTTGAAACACACACTCAAGTTTGAATCCAGATACAATCAAATGACCAGAATAAAATCAATCTGGATTGCATAGGCCTGGTCAGTTCTATAGTGATATATATCCCAAGGCCATCGCCCTTCTTAAAAAAAAAAATAATAATAAAAAAAAAAATAAAAAAAAAGGATAGAGGTTCTGGGATAGGAACACAGTCCTGGGCATTGGACGGGACAGGGACTCCAGGAGACACAAGGGTCGTCTTGTGACCGGGGAACGAAAAAAACAGAGGGACTGGCTGGCCTCTACACAAGGAACAGAGGTCTCCAGATTGGTTGGAGTTGCTCTCTGCCACAACTGCACTACGTTCCATCAAATCATCACCTCTACTTCTTATGACCGCCCAGATTACCAAGAGGCGCACCCGCTTTCCAGTAGGTGCTTTGGGTTAGCGATCAGCAGACGCCTGCTTTCGCCAATCTTTTAATCCTGCGGACGGGCAGGTAAAGGAACGGGGCCAGGGAGAGAGACAGGGCCTTGAGGCAGGAACACATGCTGGGGAAATATAAAGAGACGCTGGATAGGAAGGGTGCACGGACCTGGACATGAACAGGGCTCCGCATTACGGACGGGGAGGTAAACCTGCACATTAGCACCAGATAGGGGACCTGTCCAGGGACCTCGACAAGAACCTGTTCTGTATTGTGAAAGTCGGAAAGGTGCGTGTGGTTGACCGGCCGTGGAACATGCATGTGAACCTGGAACAGGAAATGTGTGCCTCGAAGACGTGCACAGGAATGGTTTAGGTCCTGGAACATGCATGTGAACCTCGAACAGGAAATGTGTGCCTCGAAGAAGTGCACAGGAATGGTCTAGGTCCTGGAACACAGGTGTGTTGTCGTTGGATAGAGAACCTGCCCAGGGAACCTTGGTAGTTGGTAGGTCCAGGACCACAAGTGTGCTGGAAAGAGAACCTGCCTACTGTGGTGGATCAAGCGTCACAGGAAGCAAGGGGGGGAGGTTGGAAACAGGGGAAGTCTTAGAGGCTGCGGCGAACAATAGCAAGAGGTCTGGGGCCAGGTCTGCGAAATGAGTACTGGGAACATAGAGGCTGCTGTGAACAATAGCAAGAGGGGGAGGTTGGAAACAGGGGAAGTCTTAGGCCCGAGAAAGCCAAGGAAATAACTCAATCCAAAGAGGCAGGAGGTGGTACTCAGAGGATGAAGGTGGTCTTGGAACCCAAGAGATGTAAGCAGGTGGAAACTAGACAATACATGGCACTTGGACAGTCATGCAAAGTGTGGCAGCACCTGCGGGATGTGCCTGCAAAAACGAGGCAGATGCGGTGGGTGGGCAAGAGGGTGCAGACAATTGTCATAGATAAATTAAAAACGCGTGTGCGTTCAAGAGAGAGAGAGAGAGAGAGAGAGAGAGAGAGAGAGAGAGAGAGAGAGAGAGAGAGAGAGAGAGAGAGAGAGAGAGATGGTATTTGGTGGTGGGATTCAGACTGAAGGAGACTGTGTGATGGCTACTTCCTTACTGATCATAAGTTTTGTATGTCTTACCTTTTTTCTGGTTTTTGAAAAGAGGGTTTCTTGTTTCAATATGTTTACGATCACCTGTGCATTAGCGGCGAATTTAGTGCATTGCATTTTTGTAAGTTTCTATACTTAGCTTTATCCACTTTGTCCATGTTGTGTGGTCATGGCACTCAACTTTGGATGTGGAAGCTGTTGTCCTGGAAGGAAATTATACATGCTTTTTTATCAAGTTGCTACTACTTGCTAGTGTGATGGGGCTGACTCTTGAAGCTCACATCATGATCATGGGAATATTGCAGTGCGTAATTAATGACAACCACTCAAACATTTAACTTGTTTGCCTTGACTGGTGCCCCTCTTATGATGCACAAATGGATTGCCTTATTTTTCTGTGTTTTGTGTGTGTTTCACCTCCAATCCTTTCTTCGAATTTCCTTTTTAAACACTGATTTTCGAACAGACTTTAACGGTATTTTAACCCTGTATTACAAGACCCCGTATCGGATATGCATCTCAACGTGTATTTATGCAGGATAGGTTGCCAGTACTACTGGCTTTTATTTATGTCTATCTGAAGCTTGCATTGAGCCTCACTGCTCATCACGTTGAGCACACACACACATTGAGAGATCACACGAAATTCACACTGGAGACCTGAGATGTAAAGTCCAGAATAGCGCAGCTTAGAAATTCCAACAAAATATCATATTAAGCAGTGTCCAGAGTTCCAGTCACCAGTGCCCATCAGCGCAGAGTCTGACAACTCAATTCCAGCAACCCCATCCGAGGTAAGTGACTCCCTGCTCTCTCTCTCTCCCTGTCTCTCTTCATGCATGCGCTCACTCTCACCCTCT